ATGTATATACTGTTTGCAGATTTTGACGTTGTTTCCTGGTGATGTACCGTTATTCTGACGATGTTTCCTAGTGATGTACCGTTATTTTAACGTTGTTTCCTAGTGATGTACCGTTATTTTAACGTTGTTTCCTGGTGATGTACCGTTATTTTGACCTACTGTTTGCAGATTTTGACGGTGTTTCCTGGTGATGTACCGTTATTTTGACCTACTGTTTGTAGATTTTGACGGTGTTTCCTGGTCAAAATAACGGTACATCACCATACAGTCTTGTGGAATAGCTGGATCGTTACCATATTTGATTTGTAAATTGGCTAATATGACTTCTCCATGTTAATTTTGAATTGTGTGTTAATTCACGTGTTATTTGTTACATGTTCTAAGGACGGGAGGAGCTGAGCGGGGATTATTTAGGTGGTGAAGAACGTTACAAGTGAACATTTTTTTTTATCGATAACCACTCCCAACGAAGCTGTTTCTGAAATCCATTCAAGGAATATATTCATATTACATTTTAATTCCTGCGTGACGTTATGAAATAGTATTAATTTTTTTTTCAGCGGGTATTAGATAAAAAGGACCACCACATACAAGGACAAAATGCCAACATATAAAGTCAACAGAGGTGTTTTACAAACGAATCCCTAATAGCATATTTACTGCCCTCCTTATGAGAGCGCAGACTCAGGAAAATATTCACTAATATCATTCTGACAGCATATTTTTTCAGGAAGTTTTCTTTTCGTAAATCTTAGAACACATACCCAGCAAAATGTTGTCGATCTTCTTAAATCATATCCCCCCCCCCTCCACACACACCAAAAAAACAACAAAAAAACAACAACTCTAAGTTGGTTGATCTGAGGAAAATGTTTAGTGATGTCGTCTTGAGAGCAGACATACAGGGGCATTTCAGATGTTGCTACCCTGACAACGTATGATTTGGGAAAATGTTAGTTATTGACGTTCAGTAATATATATACAGAAACCTTGGCCTGTTTTCGCTCTTAAAATGTGCTACATTTTAGACGGAGTCGTCTGTAATGAGTTTAATGGGGATTATTTATCAGCATCGAACACGTATTCAAACACTTTAATTTTAATCAATGATAACCTAAACCAATCAACAAATCATTTCTAAGTTTTTAGTTAATTTGGAGATGTAGAAAAAAGGGGAGTTTATTCTTCATGAATAGAATACTTGGCACTTTTTATTTTTTCATGCAAGGCCATTCAATGGTTGATAATTTTCGTGTTTTTTTTTCACAAGTTAATCCTCAGTGACAGGTACATTTTTTCAACTGAAAGTTATATTCTCAAGAGTACATAAGGTGCGTTTCACAGCGTTGTTTCTAAACATTCCGAAAATCGATGCCCTAACTCACCGTACTTCAGCTTGCAACAATCTCGAATTTTGTAGATTTGTTTAGTAAAACATTCTAGAGATCGATAAAACATCTGATTAAATTTATATTGCTTTTGAAATTAATTAAATTTCACACTTATAGAAGTTTATTATACGAAATTTAAGGCCTCTAAAATGAATGTCGAATTTCAGGTTAACGATTTCTATTGAAGTAAATTTTCAATTTCAGGCTAAGGATTTTTATTGAAGTAAATTTTCAATTTCAGGTTAAGGATTTTTATTGAAATGAATTAAATTTCACACTTATAGAAGTTTATTAAACGAAATTTAAGGCCTCTAAGATGAATATCGAATTTCAGGTTAACGATTTCTATTGAAGTAAATTTTCAATTTCAGGTTAATGGGCTTCGATAAAATATAAAATCAATAAGTTGTATATTTTTCAGGCCTAAAAGTACCGTTTCGTAAAGCTGCTCCAAATGATAAGTGATGTAACTCCAGCCCCCAACCCCCAGCCTATAAAATCCAAACTTGGACTACTCTCATACTTAAAGTGGGTTACATTTTATGGGGATTCGTTTGTAATATCCTTAATGGGGATTATTTATCAGCAGCAACTGTACATTAAAACGCTTTCCATTTTCCCTTTAATTTTAAGCGGTGACAACTTAGTAATTTTTAAAACAATTATAATGCTGTCTTAACGACAACCTTCACGTTTGTTTTATTGATTAGCTGTTGCAGTTATTGGAATACATTTCTTAATCATGACGAACAACGAAAACATTCTTCTAAAGATGCATAATGAAATAAAAGAGTTTTATATATTCATTCTGTTGGAAGATAAAATTTTGATTTGGCTTTTATTTCTTTCCAAAAAGTCAATTTTCACCGACTTTCTAAACGGTGGATTCAAATAGTCGTGGATAAATACTGTTTCCGAGATTCTATGAAATTCAAGCTTCATTTTCTTTTTGTGCAGTATCAGATAACCTTTCTTTTAAAATGAAATTATTTGGACCACAAACAAACAATTGTTCTGTAGGAATCATTTTGAAAAGGGGAAGAGCGCGATTTTCTCGGGGGGTGGGGGGGTAGCGGCATTATTTACACTAACTCTGGGGACGCATAATTTCAATATAGAAATGAAAGGTATGTGTATTAAGGTAATTATAAAACCAAAAACGTAAGATTACTTTGATGCTCATGAAATAAATTACCAGAATATTGTTTAAAGTGGTCGAGAATTCTAGCTTGTACAATATAATTAATTATCGTAAAATGTATTTATTGATATCAATAAAAACTAATTAGCTAATGTACATAAAAATAATATTTTCCAGTTCCACCTTTCGTGGATGTAACTGGGTAAATCGAGCGAATATTTTGTCCAAGTCCTGCTGAAAGTAATAATGGATATGGATCGTGGCTCCTCTGTAGTTATGGAGTCCGTGGTGTACACTGGCCGATCACTTTAGCGCTAGAGACGTTGAGCGTACATGCTAGCCTTAGCATGAAAAGATGCTAGGAAACCGCATCCAGGTTTTGATTGTACTTGCTGGTGTGTCTGGAGTAATCTCCTTGGGGCGTTACAGAATTCCTCATCGACAACAGCAGAGGAAGACACATCCAGATGGCGTGTTTCTTCCAGTTAATCTATGTTACACTCACTCTCCTTCAATACTGCAGGAACCAGATCAAGGAGACGGCTTGTTGTCTTCGATAGTCCTGGAGAGAAAAATTAACAAAATTTTCCTTAATATACTGTCATCGTCACCACAGTCATCCATGGTGAAAGTAATTAGAAACATTATTGTCCAACTTCAGAACACATGCAACCACCCCAACGAAACCGAACACATGTAACTACCCCAACGAAACCGAACAATACAACCACCCTAAACGAAACCGAACACATGTAACCACCCAACGAAACCGAACACATAAAACCACCCTAACGAAACCGAATACATACAAACCACCCAACGAAACCGAATACATGCAAACCACCCTAACAAAACCGAACACATACAACCACCCCAACGAAAACGAATACATGCAAACCACCCTAACGAAAACGAATACATACAAACCACCCAACGAAACCGAACAATACAACCACCCCAACAAAACCGAACAATACCACCACCCTAAACGAAACCGAACACATGCAACCACTCCAACGAAACCGAACACATGTAACCACCCCAACGAAACCGAACACATAAACCACCCAACGAAACCGAACAATACAACCACCCTAAACGAAACCGAACACATGTAACCACCCAACGAAACCGAACACATAAACCACCCTAACGAAACCGAATACATACAAACCACCCAACGAAACCGAATACATGCAAACCACCCTAACAAAACCGAACACATACAACCACCCCAACGAAAACGAATACATGCAAACCACCCAACGAAACCGAACACATGTAACCACCCTAACGAAACCGAATACATGCAAACCACCCTAACAAAACCGAACAATACCACCACCCTAAACGAAACCGAACACATGTAACTACCCCAACGAAACCGAACAATACAACCACCCTAAACGAAACCGAACACATGTAACCACCCAACGAAACCGAACGCATGTAACCACCCCAACGAAACTTGCAGTTTCATGTTAACATTCATTGTTCAACCAGTAATTAAATAAAAGTGTTGCATGAAATTTGCACGGACAAAAATTTTGCTCCATAGTTTAAATATCCGTAAACTGGAGATCACATGGTCAACATATGGATGACGTTGTTTGCGAGATAGTACTCCTCAACTCTGTGGATGCAGGGTTGCGGTGGTATCCCTGAATCAACCCTAATTGGAGAAAGCACTTTTCTGTTTCCGTACTTTTTACATTTGACGTCCAGCCAGCCCGGGAATCTCTTTAGAAACACCAACCGGAAGGAACGAGAATGTAGGTTATTACCGTGAATGCCGAATTCAATACCCCAGGTATGAACACATTTAACAAATCCCCATCACACTAAACATGCTCGCCCTTTCAGCCGTGGGGGCGTTATAAAGTGACGGTCAATCCCACTATTCGTTGGTAAAAGAGTAGCCCAAGAGTTGGCGGTGGGTGGTGATGACTAGCTGCCTTCCCTCTAGTCTTACACTGCTAAATTAGGGACGGCTAGCGCAGATAGCCCTCGTGTAGCTTTGCGCGAAATTCAAAACAAATAAACAAACAAACACATTTAACATGAAAACAAAAAATCTCAAAATTTAACCTCCGATTTTCCTTCTCGCGAATTCTGCCTTAGTAATTGGAATTACGTAACTGTTATAGGTTTGAAGTATTTTTATTCCAAATGAATAGACTTGTACTTCATAATAGTTACCTTTATAATTATTGAACAAACTATATACTAATAGTCTTACTTTTAAATAACTTATTTCTGAAGTTTGTTTGTTGACTTTCGCGAAAAGCCACACGAAGGCTATTTGCGTTAGCCGTCCCTAATTTTGAAGTGATAGACCAGAGGGAAGGCAGCCAGTAAATACCGCCTGCCGCAAGCTCTTGGACTACTCTTTATCAACGAATAGTGGGATTAACCGTCTGAAAGGGCGAGCAGAATTTGATGATTAAATTCGAACCCGCGATCCGTAGATTGAAAGTGAAGTGACCTATCCACCAGGCTATGCCAGGCATACTTATGAAGTGACCTATTCACCAGGCTATGCCAGGCATACTTATGAAGTGACCTATTCACCAGGCTATGCCAGGCATACTTGTGAAGTGACCTATCCACCAGGCTATGTTAGGCATACCTATGAAGTGACTTATCCACCAGGCTATGCCAGGCCTACCTGTGAAGTGACCTATCCACCAGGCTATGCCAGGCATACCTATGAAGTGACTTATCCACCAGGCTATGCCAGGCCTACCTGTGAAGTGACCTGTCCACCAGGCTATGCCAGGCCTACCTGTGAAGTGACCTGTCCACCAGGCTATGCCAGGCCTACCTGTGAAGTGACTTATCCACCAGGCTATGCCAGGCATACCTATGAAGTGACTTATCCACCAGGCTATGCCAGGCCTACCTGTGAAGTGACCTGTCCACCAGGCTATGCCAGGCATACCTATGAAGTGACTTATCCACCAGGCTATGCCAAGCCTACTTGTGAAGTGACTTATCCACCAGGCTATGCCAAGCCTACTTGTGAAGTGACTTATCCACCAGGCTATGCCAAGCCTACTTGTGAAGTGACTTATCTACCAGGCTATGCCAAG